CAACAACAACAATACTTAAAACAAATATCAAACAACAATAATAATACTTAAAACAAATATCAAACAACAATAATTCTGTACACAAATATCAAACAACAACAATAATACTGTACACAAATATCAAACAACAATAATAATACTTAAAACAAATATCAAACAACAATAATGCTGTACACAAATATCAAACAACAACAATAATACTTAAACAAATATCAAACAACAATAATAATACTTAAAACAAATATCAAACAACAACAATAATACTGTACACAAATATCAAACAACAATAATAATACTTAAAACAAATATCCCTTCTGAAGAAAAAGAACAACTGAATATTGTTAGTTTTGACCAGTGAAAAAGCGACCTCTATTTCTCTCAGCTGATGAAGGTTTATAAAACGTGATGTAATTTATATTGTATATAGCTCGCTTTGATATTCTAAAAACATACTACACAAGAATATAGCTTGTAAAAGAGATGATACTTGACCTACTGTTATCATTGGTACAAGTGAAACCAAATTTAAGTCTCTTCCTATTCGAGTAGGCTCGGGTAAGAAAATTTTTATGTGACTTCCAGCACCACTTAATTTCCCCCGGGAGATATTTCCAAGTTAGGAATACTCAATACGTCACGAAAAATGTTCAATTGTGATTGGTCGTTGCATTCGAATAATAGAATCCTTTCCACTTCTCGTCACTTACATCAGCTAATGATGTACATTTGTTTATCCCGGTTGCTAAATGTGACCCCTCCTAGTGGCCCAGCTAAAAACCGGGTTTCGATACTCGTGGGATCATTGTGCAGCTTTGTGCTCAAAAAACAGACAAACAAAACACGTCGCCAAGAGAGGCGGAAGGTAACGAAAAATAAATCCAACGAGAGAGAAATAATGAATTATAAATACACAAGTTAAATAAAACAGATGTGAAACTGTAGGTATAACGATTCCTAAAAAAAAAAAAAGGCCGAAATTCAATAAGATGTTTTTGTTGCGAAACGATCATGAATTAATAATATATCGATATTAATGACTTATTGTTTTTAACTCCGTCTTAGACCATATATATTCAGTCTCGTTAAAACAGCACGCGAAAACCACGTGGTAGCGAAGGTTGATTAAAATGTCGTTATTCGCTCCCTCGCCAGCGCTGTCGTCTGCTCTGTATAACCTCTTCCATTCTTGGTATCAATCTTTCCCAGCCGCCCCAAGAAGCCATCTGGCTCATTTATAACCCGGTTTCTCTCTATTTTGCTAGCCATGTCAAAGTATTTTCATATGAGATGGAGTATTATTCTGTTTAATACATTTTTGTTGACTGGATAGTTATGTTAACCAAATCTTTTTATTGATCAGACGATGATGTACACTATTTTTTGACAAATGACGAATTACAAGCACCATTATTATTATTTTTTATTAAAGGAAAAAACCGTGTTTGGTATATCATTAACTATATTTTTTTTTCAGTGCTTTTTGTGTCCCAGGAATCGTTTTAACCACATTTTTTTTAACGGTTAACTATTTTGTCTTTGTTTATGTATCTATATAAGTAAGTTTTACTATATTTTTTCTTTTATTTGAGTGTTATTAACAGTATAAGTCTATGGACTTACAACGCTAAAATACGGGGTTTGATTCCTCGCGGTGGATACAGTAGATAGTCCAATGTGACTTTGCTATAAAACAAACAGAAGAGAACAAAACAGATCAACAGGAACGAACTGGAAATTGTGTAAACAATAATTAAAATTCTGTTGATGAAAAGCTGCTTCAGGAACAGTCCAATAAAACAATTGAAAATGATAACTACGTCATTTCCGGTTGTAGCATTTCAATTTAAAAGATACATATACAGACCTTATATTTCTTCAAAGCTGAAATAATTATCTGTATGCACGTGTAAATAATCGTAAATTAATACAATGTAGCATGCTACTGCTTATAACCAGAATGTTGGTTACTACATGAACATTTAACAATACTCTCTACACGAACATTTAACAATACTCTCTACAAGAACATTTAACAATACTCTCTACACGGACATTTAACAATACTCTCTACACGAACATTTAACAATACTCTCTACACGAACATGTAACAATACTCTCTACATGGACAAGACTGTACCATTATATAATTGATACTTGAAACCGTCGGTACTTGTTGAAATTACAGAACCGAGGAAAAACAAGAAAATTGTACGTTTCTCAAATACACCGTAGTCATGAATAAATGAGATTTACAACTGTTTCCCTTATCATTAATCTCTAAGTATGACAGAACTATTCAACACTACTCTTCCACTGTTACGATATTATTGTGATCAGCAGGTAATGTGAAATACTTGATGTTGAGGTCAGCAGGTAATGTGAAATACTTGATGTTGAGGTCAGCGGGTAATGTGAGATACTTGATGTTGAGGTCAGCAGGTAATGTGAAATACTTGATGTTGGGGTCAGCGGGTAATGTGAAATAATTGATATTGGGGTCAGCGGGTAATGTGAAATACTTGATGTTGAGGTCAGAGGGTAATGTGAAATACTTGATGTTGAGGTCAGCAGGTAATGTGAGATACTTGATGTTGAGGTCAGCAGGTAATGTGAAATACTTGATGTTGGGGTCAGCGGGTAATGTGAAATAATTGATATTGGGGTCAGCGAGTAATGTGGCAAGGAACTAGCTGAAGGAAGTGGCTTCAGTCAGACGTTAATGTGGCAAAGAAATAGCTGGAGGAAGTGGTTTCAGTCAGAGTTATAAGAATTCTGTTGACGTGTAGGAAATATCTCTTTTTCACTGAGCTTCAACTGGGTGTTGCTTCACCTTGTGAAGCGCGTGACAACTATAAACACATGATATCAAGTGCATGATCTCGAGTTTCATAATTCATGATTTATCACCTTCAAAGGAATGTCAGAACGACTTGATTTATAGAGGTGGGTGGAATTTCAAGAATTTTCTGTCTAATATCATTTAAACCACTTTGTTTTATAATTTTCATGAAATACCGTCTGACGTTTGATCTCCGTCCAGATTGTTAGAAGAAGACTCAACGGAGTGGAAAACGTCACATGGCGATCGAACTTTATGTTATAACGTAGGAAGCACTTTCCCTCTACTGCGTTATATGGTGCGGAATAACATCATCGGCTGTTAACATTTAAAGTGTCTTCTGTTAAGGCAATTTTCGTGATCTCTGAACAGTAGAAGTGAGGTTTGTAGAGTACTTGTGGCTCTTAAACGACGTGAAAAGTTTGAGATTTACTATCTGAAGAACAACAAGGATTACTTAAGCAAAACGAATTGATACTAAAATGGAAACGAACTGAAGTTTCCTGGATTATGGCCAACTTCAGAGCTTTACGATATCGTCAACTTGTGCTATTATTTCACTAAGTTAAAGTTTTGAGGTCAGGCAGGATGATGAAAGTTTGAAAACTTAGAGACAAACGCTTTTCGAACATATTGAAGAAGGTGACATCTGACGGGAAATTCTTTAGCTTTAGGTTCTTTAACCCTAGCTTCTAAAAACATAAACAAGAAGGTATTTACTTATGATAATTGTAGATATTTTTATTAAAGAATAAAAGGCATACACACAAACACATCTATAGAACTACATTCATGGCCATTATCTTAATTTACAACTCTGTTTTCTGAAGAACCTCCCGTAAAGTGTGTAATTTTCCAGAACATGTTGTACAGTGTAGACTATCACGTGCTGAAACTTTAGAATAGAGAATAAATATTCTGAACATTTCCTAAACGAAACAAACTGAAGACGAACGTTTCATAAACTAAATGTTCTGAATATTTCTTAAACTAAACAAACTGAAGATGAACGTTCATAAACTAAATGCTTTGAATATTTCCTAAACTAAACAAGTTGAAGATGAACGTTTCATAAACTAAATGTTCTGAATATTTCTTAAACTAAACAAGCTGAAGATGAACGTTTCATAAACTAAATGTTCTGAATATTTCCTAAACTAAACAAGTTGAAGATGAACGTTTCATAAACTAAATGTTCTGAATATTTCTTAAACTAAATAAGCTGAAGATGAACGTTTCATAAACTAAATGTTCTGAATATTTCCTAAACTAAACAAGCTGAAGATGAACGTTTCATAAACTAAATGTTTTGAATATTTCCTAAAATAAACAAGCTAAAGATGAACGTTTCAGAAACTAAACGTTCTGAAAATTTCATAAACTAAATGTTCTGAACATTTCTTAAATTAAACATGCTGAAACTGAGTACGTCCTAAGCTAAACAGGAAAGGTTTTGCTCATTTTGAACAGCTGCTGAAGAGTGATGTAGATGTGGAATCAATGAATAGACAAAACTGTTACTGAGCGTAAGTAACGACCACTTGATCGACCTGCAAAACCACGCGCTGCGTGGTCTTTATCCTAAAGTACTTTCGTCACAATACAACACAACTTAGAAACGACAGATGAGCACACGTAGTGGTGATTACATTCCTCGTTCATCCACACCATTTAAATCCATAAAGAACTAGAACACGAAATGTGAATATAATGTATTATATCGACTTTAGGGGCCTGTTGCCGTTATGATATGAAGCTTGTCATAGTCTTCTGATAACTTTGTCAAAAGTTGAATATTTTATTTCCTCTTACCTTATTAAAACTTCATTATTCAATATTTCGGTGTCCTCTCTGCCTTGTATTATTATTATTATTGTTATTATTTCTTCATATTACAAGTTGATTCTTCATATTTTTTAGGAAGCCTTGATGTACAAATCCTATCATTTTGGTTTCCGCACTAGGCCTACATCAGGTGAAAACTTTTGGTACCCTTCTATACTTACTTGAACGTTACGTTTACGCACTAGGCCTACATCAAATGAAATCCGTTCTTATCCTTCTATACTTTCCTAAACGTTACGTTTCCACACTAGACCTAAATGAAAACCGTTTGTATCCTTCTATACTTACTTCAACGTTACGTTTCCGCACTAGGCCTACATCATATGAAAACCATTTGTATCCTTCTGTATTTTCTTGAACGTTACGTTTCTGCATTAGGCCTACATGAGATGAAAACCGTTTGTATTCCTTCTATACTTTCTTAAACGTTACGTTTCCGCACTAGGCCTAAATGAAAACCGTTTGTATCCTTCTATACTCACTTGATCGTTACGTTTTCGCACTAGGCCTAAATGAAAACCGTTTGTATCCTTCTATACTTTCTTGAACGTTACGTTTCTGCATTAGGCCTAC